TCAGTGACTGTCTATAGTAAGTATACCTCTACAGTACTGACATATTTACACCTTCAGGTTGTCTATAGTAAGTATACCTCTACAGAAGTATTTGTTATTGAATTGTAAGCAATTTATAATTGATACAATAATGCATGTTGATTTTTCCGCCTTGATTAATTATTTGTACAGGACCTGCTGGTGGTGATGATTTTCTTCTTCAAGTTTTTCTACTTGTTCACACCAATGCTTGGACTAGGGGGAGCTATTGTGTTCTACTTTATAGTTAGGTAAGTCGCTATCTGGCATATTCCATTATTTTGGTATCGATCTGTGTTGGTGCACCTGTCAAGTGTCCAGGTATTGATTTCACCTGATAGTTCTTCGTCTCCGTTGATGGATTTTTAGCTCACCTGACCTGAAGGGATGAAGGGCTACCAACTTATTTCAAAGAATGACCTTTATCGATATGCGAGGTTACAGGGGTCAAATATTTTAAAAACTTAAAAAGAAATTCTTCTAAATAACCTTATTACACAGGGTGGTGATATTTGGCCATCAATTATCAATTTTGTTCAGGTGAATGACATTGACATTGATTTTAGTCCACTTGTAAGGTGGCAAGTGTAAGATTAATACCAGGTGAGAGATGCAGGTCTATTGGGCCTCTAGGTATCTTGAGTACAATTTCATAATTTGTTTTACATCAACAGGTAAAAATTACCTGCACCAAAACAATCAGTGTTTTCGCAATGTTCTATTTTGAAAACAGACATAATTTTTACATTGGAAACATCCTTTATAAGTCTATAAGCAAATACCAACATTTTGTATAGCTGAGAAAATGAGCAGTCAGGCATTTTTTAATGCAAGGATGCATATATCCAACTAATTTTCTAGGCAAATCAAAGTAAGGAAAGTACTCATTACTACTTTCACAATATCAGTATATAAAGAACTACTTGAGTAAATGCTCATTTGCATTTTGTTAAGCTCACCTGTTCTGAAGGACCAATGTGAGCTCATGCCATACCGTTAGTCACTGCCTTCAGACTATTGGGTTTACCTGAGGACAGTCACAATAACCACTACAGACATGGACTGCCATCAGACTATTGGGTGTACCTGAGGACAGCCACACTAACCACTACAGACAAAAACTGCCTTCAGACTATTGGGTGTACCTGAGGACAGTCACACTAACCACTACAGACAAGGACTGCCTTTAGACTATTGGGTGTACCTGAGGACAGTCACATTAACCACTACAGACAAGGACTGCCAGCAGACTATTGGGTGTACCTGAGGACAGCTACACTAACCACTACAGACAAAAACTGCCTTCAGACTACTGGGTGTACCTGAGGACAGTCACAATAACCACTACAAACATCATCAGACTATTGGGTGTACCTGAGGCCAGCCACACTAACCACTACAGACAAAAACTGCCTTCAGACTATTGGGTTTACCTGAGGACGGTCACAATAACCACTACAGACATGGACTGCCATCAGACTATTGGGTGTACCTGACGACAGTCACAATAACCACTACAGACAAGGACTGCCATCAGACTATTGGGTGTACCTGACGACAGTCACGCTAACCACTACAAACAAGGACTGCCATCAGACTATTGGGTGTACCTGAGGACAGCCACACTAACCACTACAGACAAGGACTGCCTTCAGTCTATTGGGTGTACCTGAGGACAGTCACAATAACCACTACAGACAAGGACTGCCTTCAGACTATTGGGTTTACCTGAGGACAGCAACACTAACCACTACAGACAAGGACTGCCTTCAGGCTATTGGGTGTACCTGAGGACAGTCACACTAACCACTACAGACAAAGACTGCCTTCAGACTATTGGGTTTACCTGAGGACAGCCACACTAACCACTACAGACAAGGACTGCCTTCAGTAACCACTACAGACAAGGACTGCCATCAGACTATTAGGTGTACCTGAGGACAGTCACCCTAACCACTACAGACAAAGACTGCCTTCAGACTATTGGGTTTCCCTGAGGACAGCCACACTAACCACTACAGACAAAGACTGCCTTCAGACTATGGGGTTTACCTGAGGACAGCCACACTGACCACTACAGACAAGGACTGCATTCAGTCTATTGGTTGTACCTGAGGACCGCCACACTAACCACTATAGACAAGGACTGCCTTTAGACTATTGGGTGTCCCTGAGGACAGTCACACTAACCAATACAGACAAAGATTTCCTTCAGACTATTAGGTGTATCTGAGGACAGCCACGCTAACTACTACAGACAAGAACTGCCTTCAGACTGTTGGGTGTTCCCGAGGACAGTCACACTCTCTACTAAAGACAAGGACTGCCTTTAGACTACTGGGTGTACCTGAGGACAGTCAAACTAACCACTACAGACAAGGACTGTACCTGAGGACAGTCACACTCTCTACTTCAGACAAGGACTGCCTTTAGACTATTGGGTGTCCCTGAGGACAGTCCCCCTAACCACTACAGACAAAGACTTCCTTCAGACTATTAGGTGGGCCTGAGGACAGCCACGCTAACTACTACAGACAAGGACTGCCTTCAGACTGTTGGGTGTTCCCGAGGACAGTCACACTCTCTACTACAGACAAGGACTGCCTTTAGACTATTGGGTGTACCTGAGGCCAGTCACACTAACCACTACAGACAAGGACTGCCATCAGATTATTGGGTGTACCTGAGGACAGTCACACTAACCACTACAGACAACGACTGCCATCAGACTATTGGGTGTACCTGAGGACAGTCACCCTAACCACTACAGACAAGGACTGCCTTCAGACTATTGGCTGTACCTGAGGTCAGTCACACTAACCACTACAGACAAGGACTGCCATCAGATTATTGGGTGTACCTGAGGACAGTCACAATAACGACTACAGACAAGGACTGCCTTCAGACTATTGGGTGTACCTGAGGACAGTCACAATAACCACTACAGACAACGACTGCCTTCAGACTATTGGGTTTACCTGAGGACAGCCACACTAATCACTACAGACAAGGACTGCCTTCAGTCTATTGGTTGTACCTGAGGACAGTCACAATAACCACTACAGACAAGGACTGCCATCAGACTATTGGGTGTCCCTGAGGACAGTCACAATAACCACTACAGACAAGGACTGCCATCAGACTATTGGGTGTCCCTGAGGACAGTCACACTAACCACTACAGACATGGACTGCCATCAGACTATTGGGTGTACCCTAGGACCCACACTAACCACTACAGACAATGACTGCCTTCAGACTATTGGGTGTACCTGAGGACAGTCACAATAACCACTACAAACAAGGACTGCCATCAGACTATTGGGTGTACCTGAGGACAGTCACACTAACCACTACAGACAAGGACTGTCTTCAGACTAGTGGGTGTACCTGAGGACAGCCACACTAACCACTACAGACAATGACTGTCATCAGACTATTGGGTGTACCTGAGGACAGTCACACTAACCACTACAGACAAGGACTGACAGCCACACTAACCACTACAGACAAGGACTGCCTTAAGACTATTGGGTGTGACTGAGGACAGCCACACTAACCACTACAGACAAGGACTGTCATCAGACTATTGGGTGTACCTGAGGACAGTCACACCAACCACTACAGACAAGGACTGTCTTCAGACTATTGGGTGTACCTGAGGACAGTCATACTAACCACTACTATTGGGTGTACCTGAGGACAGTCACACTAACCCCTACAGACAAGGACTGTCTTCAGACTAGTGGGTGTACCTGAGGACAGCCACACTAACCACTATAGACAAGGACTGCCTTCAGACTATTGGCTGTACCTGAGGACAGTCACACTAACCACTACAGACAAGGACTGCCTTAAGACTATTGGGTGTGACTGATGACAGCCACACTAACCACTACAGACAAGGACTGCCTTCAGACTATGGGGTGTACCTGAGGACAGTCACAATAACCACTACAGACAAGGACTGCCATCAGACTATTGGGTGTACCTGAGGACAGTCATACTAACCACTACAGACAAAGACTGCCATCAGACTATTGGGTGTACCTGAGGACAGTCACACTAACCACTACAGACAAGGACTGCCATCAGACTATTAGGTGTACCTGACGACAGTCACAATAACCACTACAGACAAGGACTGCCATCAGACTATTGGGTGTACCTGTGGACAGTCATACTAACCACTACAGACAAGGACTGCCTTAAGACTATTGGGTGTGACTGATGACAGCCACACTAACCACTACAGACAAGGACTGCCATCAGACTATTGGGTGTACCTGAGGACAGTCATACTAACCACTACAGACAAAGACTGCCATCAGACTATGACTGCCATCAGACTATTGGGTGTACCTGAGGACAGTCACACTAACTACTACAGACAAGGACTGCCATCAGACCATTGGGTGTACCTGAGGACAGTCACACTAACCACTAAAGACAAGGACTGCCATCAGACTATTGGGTGTACCCGACGACAGTCACACTAACCACTACAGACAAGGACTGCCTTCTGACTATTGGGTGTACCTGAGGACAGTCACACTAACTACTACAGACAAGGACTGCCATCAGACTATTGGGTGTACCCGCCGACAGTCACACTAACCACTACAGACAAGGACTGCCTTCAGACTGTTAGGTGTACCTGAGGACAGTAACACTAACCACTACAGACAAGGACTGCCATCAGACTATTGGGTGTCCCTGAGGACAGTCACACTAACTACTACAGACAAGCACTGCCATCAGACTATTGGGTGTCCCTGAGGACAGTCACACTAACCACTAAAGACAAGGACTGCCATCAGACTATCGGGTGTCCCCGACGACAGTCACACTAACCACTACAGACAAGGACTGCCTTCTCTATTGGGTGTACCTGAGGACAGCCACACTAACCACTACAGACAAGGACTGCCTTCTGACTATTGGGTGTACCTGAGGACAGTCACACTACCCACTACAGACAAGGACTGCCATCAGACTGTTAGGTGTACCTGAGGGCAGTCACACTAACCACTACAGACAAAGACTTCCTTCAGACTATTAGGTGTACCTGAGGACAGCCACGCTAACTACTACAGACAAGGCCTGCCTTCAGACTATTGGGTGTTCCCGAGGACAGTCACACTAACTACTACAGACAAGGATTGCCATCAGACTATTGGGTGTACCTGAGGAGAGTCACACTAACCACTACAGACAAGGACTGCAATCAGACTATTGGGTGTACCTGAGGACAGCCACACTAACCACTACAGACAAGGACTGCCTTCTCTATTGGGTGTACCTGAGGACAGCCACACTAACCACTACAGACAAGGACTGCCTTCTGACTATTGGGTGTACCTGAGGACAGTCACACTCACCACTACAGACAAGGACTGCCTTCAGACTGTTAGGTGTACCTGAGGACAGTAACAACTATTGGGTGTACCTGAGGACAGTCACACTCACCACTACAGACAAGGACTGCCTTCAGACTATTGGGTGTACCTGAGGACAGTCACACTAACTTCTACAGACAAGGACTGCCATCAGACTATTAGGTGCACCTGACGACAGTCACAATAACCACTACAGACAAGGACTGCCATCAGACTATTGGTTGTATATGAGGACATCCTTATCTAACCTTAACTGCATGATAGGACGTTATAAAGAAAACATCTAGGAGTTGTAACTGCAAAGCATCAAAAACTTGTTTTTTAGTTCACCTGCCTAAAGGGCAAGTGAGCTTATGCCATGGCGCAGCGCCCGTCGTCTATCATCCGTCATCCGTCATCCGTCCGTTCGTCAACTTTTCCTTTAAAACGCTACTTGTCCTGAATGGCACAGTAGATTTTGACTAAATTTGGTCTGGAGCATCCTTAGGCAAAGAGGACTCAATGTTGTATAAACAGTGGGTGTGAACCCTCTGGGGGCAGAGGAGTGTGACCCAATAGGGAAAATTGAGGTAAAACATTTAAAAATCTTCTTCTACCGTAGCAATTAAGGGATTTTATCATAATTTGGTCTGGAGCATCCTTGGGCCAAGGGGACTCGTGGTGTATAAATGGTGGGTATGGATCCCCTAGGGGCAGGGAAGCAGGGCCCAATACGGGAAATTGAGGTAAAACCATTAAAATCCACAAAAAAAATTAAAAAATAAAACAATATAAAAAAAACAAAAAAACATTAAAATCCTTCTTCTTCAGTAGGGATGAAGGGATTTTATCATAATTAGGTCTGGAGCATCCTTCGACCAAGGGGACTCAGTTTTGTATAAACAGTGGGTGTGGCTCCCCCTGGGGGCAGAGGTGTGGGACCGAATAGGGGAAATAGAGTAAACCTTTAAAATCCTTCTACCATAGAGATGAAGGGATTTCATCCCAATTTGGTCTGGAGCATCCTTGGGCCAAGAGGACTCAATCTAGTATATGCAGCGAGTGTGGCCCCTCTAGGGGCAGAGGGGTGGGGCTGAATAAGGGAAATAGAGTAAACCTTTAAACTCCTTCTATCGTAGGGATTAAGGGATTTTATCCTAATTTGGTTTGGTGCATTCTTGGGCCAATAAGACTCAATTTTGTATAAAGGGTAGGTGTGGCCCACCTTGGAACAGACGGATGGGGCTGAATAGGAGATATAGAGGTAAAAACCTTTGAAATCCTTCTTCTACAACAATTTTGTTTGGAGCATGTTTGGGCCAAGACTCAGTTTTGTATAAACGGTTGGTTTGGACCCACTGTGGGCAGAGTTGCCGGGCCCAATAGGGGAAAGAGAGGTAAAAAGCTTTGAAATCCTTCTTCTACCATATAGGAGGTAAGGGATTTTATCCCAATTTAGCCTGGAACATCCTTGGGCAAAGGGGACTAAATTTTGTATAAACGAAGGATGAGGCTCCTCGGGGTGCTGAGAGTTGCTGGGCCAAATAGATCAATTCAAAGTTTTAATTTTTAAAATCTTTCTTCATCTCCAATGGAGGGATTTTATGTACCGGTAACAAGAATAATTTCCCATGGTTGCTTTATTATCCAGGTGAGTGATACAGGCCCTCTGGGCCTCTTGTCTTAGTCGGTTGTAAACACCTTTCATAGGCTTGCATGTGTTGCCTTAATTTTTTAACCATGTACCGACTTTTAAATAAAATTTACTTGACTTGACTTATGCACTCAAAGGAGAACTTAATTTAAGGGAATAAAATTACAAATAAGCATTCCAATATAATAGTTAACAGTAAATAATGCTGTATCTTTACAGGTGTAATAAGTCAGACAACAATGCTGTATCTTTACAGGTGTAATAAGTCAGACAGCAATGCTGTATCTTTACAGGTGTTATAAGTCAGACTAAAGGCCCTTATGTTGAACTCCATGTAGATATTCATATTAGGGTATTGCATTTATTTCAGGTATGCTCAGGAGTACTGAGTATATTATGCATAATATCGTGACTGTTTCATATGTAACATGGGTGATCACTTTGCTTGAATAGTTACAGTTGTGGGATCGCACAACGTTACACGATGTGCGGTGTGCGCACGATGTGTGCAGGGTGTGAACGGTGTGTGCACGATGGGCGAACGATAAAAAGCTGGATGATCATTGCTGGCGCACATCTGTGCGCACGATGGACGGACGTTGTGCGATAACAATCGTGGTTGGTGTAAATTGAGGAATGCCTTTACAATTTATAAGGTTTCTTGTTTAAACATGTAAACTTGATGTTTACGTATGTTTCTATATTCTAGCAACATCTATAAACTTATCTTTCTGTCTATACATTCTTATATTTAGAAATTGTGTTTTTTAAACAAACTTAATCGACACATGTAAAATTACAACACCATCCCGTATACAGGTAAACATAAGCACTTTGTACATGTACCTGGACCGTAGTTTTCTCCCCGCCTGGGGCACTTACGTAACTCGTCGGGTAAGGCTGTGTGTGTGAAAATCCAGGTGAAGGGGAGCTATAGGCAAACGAATGCAAATAACAAATACTATTCATTACGGTCAAACGGTATCGCATATCAGCTCTGTGTGTCAGGCACTGGTCAGGTAACACTCCGGACACTCGTAAAATTTACCTGTTCTGTTACCTTGGAGCCAAACCCATTCTTGACAGCCTAACGGTTGCTGTAATACTGTGTAACATGCATTGTGAAATTGTATAATCTTGATTATTGTGATGAGAAATTACAGATATGTACACAGTGTACATTATCGCATACAAGCCTTCCGTATTTTTGTCATTCCGTAATTTTGATCTACAAATGATACCAAATCACACAGTTGTGCGGAGAGAAGCGCACAACGGGGCGAACGATTGCTAAATCGCACAGTTGTGCGCACCATGTGTGGACGATGTGCGGACGGTGTGTGAACGATGTATGCACGGTGTACGCACGCTATTTTTGGTGCGTTGTGCGGTCCCACAACTGTACATCTATATTGACCTGTCTGTAATCTGTATGGTAATTTGAGGTTAACACAGAAGATTTAATTGGGGCCAGACTACACATGTATATAATGGTCAACAATGGAATTGAGAAGGTATTACATATATTTCCTTTGGTTAACAATGATGTTTAGAAAGTCACTGGTTTACCTTGGTAACAATGATGTTTTGTACAGGTGTTTAGAAAGTCACTGGTTTACCTGGGTAACACAGTCAAACCACATCCCTATGAACATCGACAATGACCAGGCCCTACACTGGATGAAGCTTCAGATGAATGCTACCTGTGACATTGAGAAATCCTTCTTCAACGATTGGTTCACAGGCCACCTCAACTTCCAAATAGAACACCAGTAAGTATCAATGGAGCTGAGCAATCTGTGCCATCATTTCTTGTGTATTGCCTTCTCTGTTACTTTAAAGCATGCACAGCCCAAAATATTGTTTATGAGAAACAAGTGCACATGTACACACTGTTAACAAACAGAACTGTGGATCTGCTGTGAGTTGTATTTACTGTATATGTCCATGCTTTACCAAAGTTTCAATCATCATTCTGATGTTGTGTAATAGGGTGTTTCCTGGTTTTCCACTTAAACAAACAGTACTTTAAAAAGTGGTAGTCTTTTGTAGTTTGATATAACAATTAGTCAAGAGAGAGTAGTGAAAACCGTCTTAAACAAAAAGAGTAGAACTATTAGTCTGAATTTAAGATGGAAGTTGTCAGCTATGCCAAGGAACATGGAAATTGGGAGGATAGACATTTTGAAGTCAAAGAAATGTATGTCTTTGTTTGGTTTTTGGTTTTTAGCTCACCTAGCCCGACGGTCACAGTGAGCTAACATTTCGGTTAGTTTGAGGTCATAATAGTTTGCACCTAAGATGTTATCATTGACACCTAAGATGTCATCATTGACACATCTATGTATCACCTAAGATGTTATCATTGACACATCTATGTTTCACCTAAGATGTTATCATTGACACATCTATGTATCACCTTATATGTAACCATTGACACATCTATGTTTCACCTAAGATGTTATCATTGATACATCTATGTATCACCTAAGATGTTATCATTGACACATCTATGTATCACCTTTTATGTAACCATAGACACATCTATGTATCACCTAAGATGTTATCATTGACACATCTATGTATCACCTAAGATGTTATCATAGACACCTCTATGTATCACCTAAGATGTTATCATCGACACCTCTATGTATCACCTAAGATGTTATCATTGACTCATCTATGTATCACCTTTTATGTAACCATAGACTCATCTATGTATCACCTAAGATGTTATCATCGACACATCTATGTATCACCTTATATGTAACCATGGACACATCTATGTTTCACCTAAGATGTTATCATTGACACATCTATGTATCACTTTTATGTAACCATTGACACATCTATGTATCACTTTTATGTAAACATTGACCCATCTATGTAAAACCTAAGATGTTTTCATTGACACATCTATGTATCACCTTGTATGTAACCATTGACACCTCTATGTATCACCTAAGATGTTATCCTTGATACATAGATGTGTCAATGATGACATCTTAGGTGATACATAGGTGTATCAATGATAACATGTTAGGTGATACATAGATGTCGCAATGATGACATCTTAGGTGATACATCTATGTATCACTTTTATGTAAACATTGACCCATCTATGCAAAACCTAAGATGTTTTGATTGACACATCTATGTAACACTTTTATGTAAACATTGACCCATCTATGTAAAACTTAAGATGTTTTCATTGACACCTCTATGTATCACATAAGATGTTATCATTGACTGACACATCTATGTTTCAGCTAAGATGTTATCATTGTTACATCTATGTATCACCTTGTATGTAACAATTGATACCTCTATGTATCACCTTATATGTAACCATTTACACATCTATGTTTCACCTAAGATGTTATCCTTGACACATCTATGTTTCACCTAATATGTTATCATTGATACCTCTATGTATCACCTTATATGTAACCAGTGGCACATCTATGTATCGCCTAAGATGTTATCATTTACACATCTATGTTTCACCTAAGATGTTATCACTGACACATCTATGTTTCAGCTAAGATGTTATCATTGACACCTAAGATGTCATCATTGCGACATCTATGTATCACCTTATATGTAACCATTGGCACATCTATGTATCGCCTAAGATGTTATCATTTACACATCTATGTTTCACCTAAGATGTTATCCTTGACACATCTATGTATCACCTTGTATGTAACAATTGATACCTCTATGTATCACCTTATATGTAACCATTTACACATCTATGTATCACTTTTATGTAAACATTAACCCATCTATGTAAAACTTAAGATGTTTTCATTGAAACATCTATGTATCACCTTATATGTAACCATTTACACATCTATGTATCACTTTTATGTAACCAATGACACATCTATGTATCAATTTTATGTAAACATTGACACATCTATGTAACACTTTTATGTAAACATTAACCCATCTATGTAAAACCTAAGATGTTTTCATTCACACCTCTATGTATCACATAAGATGTTATCATTGACACATAGAGGTGTCAATGGTTACATAAAAGTGGGGCATAGATGTGTCAATGATCTTAGGTGATACATAGATGTCGCAATGATGACATCTTAGGTGATACATAGGTGTATCAATGATAACATCCTAGGTGAAACATAGATGTGTAAATGATAACATCTTAGGGGAAACATAGATGTGTCAATGATCTTAGGTGATACATAGATGTCGCAATGATGACATCTTAGGTGATACACAGAGGTGTCAATGGTTACATGAAAGTGATACATAGATGTATCACCTAAGATGTCATCATTGATACATCTATGTATCACTTTTATGTAACCAATGACACATCTATGTATCAATTTTATGTAAACATTGACACATCTATGTAAAACCTAAGATGTTTTGATTGACACATCTATGTATCAATTTTATGTAAACATTGACCCATCTATGCAAAACCTAAGATGTTTTCATTGACACATCTATGTTTCCCCTAAGATGTTATCATTGTTACATCTATGTATCACCTAACATGTTATCATTGATACACCTATGTATCACCTAAGATGTTATCAGTGACACATCTATGTATCACCTTATATGTAACCATTGGCACATCTATGTATCGCCTAAGATGTTATCATTGACACCTAAGATGTCATCATTGATACATCTATGGATCACCTAAGATGTTATCCTTGACACATCTATGTATCAATTTTATGTAAACATTGACACATCTATGTGTTATCATTGACACATCTACGTATCACCTAAGATGTTATCAGTGACACATCTATGTATCTCCTAAGATGTTATCATTTACACATCTATGTTTCACCTAAGATGTTATCACTGACACATCTATGTTTCAGCTAAGATGTTATCATTGACACCTAAGATGTCATCATTGACACATCTATGTTTCACCTAAGATGATAACATTGATACCTATATGTATCACCATTTATGTAACCATTGACACATCTATGTAAAACCTTATATGTAACCATTGACACATCTATGTTTCACCTAAGATGTTATCATTGACACATCTATGTTTCACCTAAGATGTTATCATTGACACATCTATGTATCACCTTATATGTAACCATTGACACATCTATGTTTCACCTAAGATGTTATCATTGATACATCTATGTATCACCTAAGATGTTATCATTGACACCTCTATGTATCACCTAAGATGTTTTCATTGACACCTCTATGTATCACCTTATATGTAACCATTGACACATCTATGTATCGCCTAAGATGTAAACATTGGCACATCTATGTATCACCTAAGATGTTATCATTGACACATCTATGTATCACCTAAGATGTTATCATTGACACATCTATGTATCACCTAAGATGTTATCATTGACACATCTATGTATCACCTAAGATGTTATCATTGACACATCTATGTATCACCTAAGATGTTATCATTGACACATCTATGTATCACCTAAGATGTTATCATTGACACATCTATGTATCACCTAAGATGTTATCATTGACACATCTATGTATCACCTAAGATGTTATCATTGACACATCTATGTATCACCTAAGATGTTATCATTGACACATCTATGTATCACCTAAGATGTTATCATTGACACATCTATGTATCACCTAAGATGTTATCATTGACACATCTATGTATCACCTAAGATGTTATCATTGACACATCTATGTATCACCTAAGATGTTATCATTGACACATCTATGTATCACCTAAGATGTTATCATTGACACATCTATGTATCACCTAAGATGTTATCATTGACACATCTATGTATCACCTAAGATGTTATCATTGACACATCTATGTTTCACCTAAGATGTTATCATTGACACATCTATGTATCACCTAAGATGTTATCATTGACACATCTATGTATCACCTAAGATGTTATCATTGACACATCTATGTATCACCTAAGATGTTATCATTGACACATCTATGTTTCACCTAAGATGTTATCATTGACACATCTATGTATCACCTAAGATGTTATCATTGACACATCTATGTATCACCTAAGATGTTATCATTGACACATCTATGTATCACCTAAGATGTTATCATTGACACATCTATGTATCACCTAAGATGTTATCATTGACACATCTATGTATCACCTAAGATGTTATCATTGACACATCTATGTATCACCTAAGATGTTATCATTGACACATCTATGTATCACCTAAGATGTTATCATTGACACATCTATGTATCACCTAAGATGTTATCATTGACACATCTATGTATCACCTAAGATGTTATCATTGACACATCTATGTATCACCTAAGATGTTATCATTGACACATCTATGTATCACCTAAGATGTTATCATTGACACATCTATGTATCACCTAAGATGTTATCATTGACACATCTATGTATCACCTAAGATGTTATCATTGACACATCTATGTATCACCTAAGATGTTATCATTGACACATCTATGTATCACCTAAGATGTTATCATTGACACATCTATGTATCACCTAAGATGTTATCATTGACACATCTATGTATCACCTAAGATGTTATCATTGACACATCTATGTATCACCTAAGATGTTATCATTGACACATCTATGTATCACCTAAGATGTTATCATTGACACATCTATGTATCACCTAAGATGTTATCATTGACACATCTATGTATCACCTAAGATGTTATCATTGACACATCTATGTATCACCTAAGATGTTATCATTGACACATCTATGTATCACCTAAGATGTTATCATTGACACATCTATGTATCACCTAAGATGTTATCATTGACACATCTATGTATCACCTAAGATGTTATCATTGACACATCTATGTATCACCTAAGATGTTATCATTGACACATCTATGTATCACCTAAGATGTTATCATTGACACATCTATGTATCACCTAAGATGTTATCATTGACACATCTATGTATCACCTAAGATGTTATCATTGACACATCTATGTATCACCTAAGATGTTATCATTGACACATCTATGTATCACCTAAGATGTTATCATTGACACATCTATGTATCACCTAAGATGTTATCATTGACACATCTATGTATCACCTAAGATGTTATCATTGACACATCTATGTATCACCTAAGATGTTATCATTGACACATCTATGTATCACCTAAGATGTTATCATTGACACATCTATGTATCACCTAAGATGTTATCATTGACACATCTATGTATCACCTAAGATGTTATCATTGACACATCTATGTATCACCTAAGATGTTATCATTGACACATCTATGTATCACCTAAGATGTTATCATTGACACATCTATGTATCACCTAAGATGTTATCATTGACACATCTATGTATCACCTAAGATGTTATCATTGACACATCTATGTATCACCTAAGATGTTATCATTGACACATCTATGTATCACCTAAGATGTTATCATTGACACATCTATGTATCACCTAAGATGTTATCATTGACACATCTATGTATCACCTAAGATGTTATCATTGACACATCTATGTATCACCTAAGATGTTATCATTGACACATCTATGTATCACCTAAGATGTTATCATTGACACATCTATGTATCACCTAAGATGTTATCATTGACACATCTATGTATCACCTAAGATGTTATCATTGACACATCTATGTATCACCTAAGATGTTATCATTGACACATCTATGTATCACCTAAGATGTTATCATTGACACATCTATGTATCACCTAAGATGTTATCATTGACACATCTATGTATCACCTAAGATGTTATCATTGACACATCTATGTATCACCTAAGATGTTATCATTGACACATCTATGTATCACTTTTATGTAACCATTGACACATCTATGTATCACTTTTATGTAAACATTGACACATCTATGTATCACCTAAGATGTAAACATTGGCACATCTATGTATCACCTAAGATGTTATCATTGACACATCTATGTATCACCTAAGATGTTATCATTGACACATCTATGTATCACCAAAGATGTTATCATTGACACCTCTATGTATCACCTAAGATGTTATCATTGACACCTAAGATGTTATCCTTGACACATCTATGTATCGCCTAAGATGTTATCATTGATACCTCTATGTATCACCTTTTATGTAACCATTGACACATCTATGTATCACCTAAGATGTTATCATTCACACATCTATGTATCACCTAAGATGTTATCATTGACACATCTATGTATCACCAAAGATGTTATCATTGACACCTCTATGTATCACCTAAGATGTTTTCATTGACACCTCTATGTATCACCTTATATGTAACCATTGACACATCTATGTATCGCCTAAGATGTAAACATTGGCACAGCTATGTATCACCTAAGATGTTATCATTGATACCTCTATGTATCACCTAAGATGTTATCATTGACACCTAAGATGTTATCATTGACACATCTATGTATCACCTAAGATGTTATCATTGATACCTCTATGTATCACCGAAGATGTTAATATTTGTTTTACAGCCTGTTTCCAACCATGCCCCGTCACAACCTGTACAAAGTTGCTCCCCTTGTCCAGTCTTTGTGTAAAAAACATGACATTAAGTATGAGATTAAACCGCTGTGGACCGCCTTCAAGGACATCGTCAGGTAATACACTGTCTTTGTTTATTTCTGTGATACTGTTTATATCTTTACAGATGTGGTAACCAGGGATTTATGTCCTGGTGTGGTATCCAGAGATTTATGTCAGAGTGTGTTATCAAGGGTTTTTATGTCAGATTGTGGTAAGAAGTGATTTATGACATGGTGTGGTATCCAGGGATTTATGTCAGTGTGTGGTATCCAGGGATTTATGTCAGTGTGTGGTATCCAGGGATTTATGTCAGGGTGTGGTATTCAGGGATTTGTCAGGGTGTGGGATCCAAGGGGTTTTGTCAGGGTGTGGTATCCAGGGATTTATGTCAGGGTGTGGTATCCAGGGATTTAAGACAGGTTGTGGTATCAATGGATTAATGTCAAGAGTGTGGTATCCCGGGATTTATGACATAATGTGGTAACCAGGGATTTATGTCCTGGTGTGGTATCCAGGGATTTATGTCCTGGTGTGGTATCCAGGGATTTATGTCAGAGTGTGTTATCAAGGGTTTTTATGTCAGATTGTGGTATCCAGGGATTTATGTCAGGGTGTGGTATATATTCAGGGATTTATGTCAAGGTGTGGGATCCAAGGGTTTTTGTCAGAGTGTGGTATCCAGGGATTTATGTCAGAGTGTGGTATTCAGGGATTTATGTCAGGGTGTGGGATCCAAGGGTTTTTGTCAGGGTGTGGTATCCAGGGATTTATGTCAGGGTGTTGGATCCAATGGTTTTTTGTCAGAGTGTGGTATCCAGGGATTTATGTCAGAGTGTGATATTCAGGGATTTATGTCAGGGTGTGGGATCCAAGGGTTTTTGTCAGGGTGTGGTATCCAGGGATTTATGTCAGAGTGTGGTATTCAGGGATTTATGTCAGGGTGTGGGATCCAAGGGTTTTTGTCAGGGTGTGGTATCCAGGGATTTATGTCAGGGTGTTGGATCCAATGGTTTTTTGTCAGGGTGTGGGATCCAAGGGGTTTTGTCAGGGTATGGTATATATTCAGGGATTTATGTCAGGGTGTGGGATCCAAGGGTTTTTGTCAGGGTGTGGGATCCAATGGTTTTGTGTCAGAGTGTGGTATTGAGGGATTTATGTCAGGGTATGGTATATAGTCAGGGATTTATGTCAGGGTGTTGGATCCCATGGTTTCTTGTCAGGGTGTGGGATCCACGGGGTTTTGTCAGGGTGGGGGATCCAAGGGGTTATGTCAGGGTGTGGGATCCAAGGGGTTTTGTCAGGGTGTGGTATCCCGGGAATTTATGTCAGGGTGTGATATTCAGGGATTTATGTAAAGGTTGTGGGATCCAAGGGGTTTTGTCAGAGTGTGATTTCCAGGGATTTATGTCAGGGTGTGGTATTCAGGGATTTATGTCAGGGTGTGGTATCCAGGGATTTATGTCAGGGTATGGGATCCAAGGGGTTTTGTCAGGGTGTGGTATCCAGGGATTTATGTCAGGGTGTGGGATCCAAGGGTTTTTGTCAGGGTGTGATATCCAGGGATTTATGTCAGGGTGTGGGATCCAAGGATTTTTGACAGGTTGTGGTATCCAGGAATTTATGTCAGGGTGTGGGATCCAAGGGGTTTTGTCAGGGTGTGGTATCCAGGGATTTATGTCAGGGTATGGGATCCAAGGGTTTTTGTCAGAGTATGGTATCCAGGATTTTCCTGTATTATTTCCTTCACTCAGGAAAAAAACCATGATGTAGTTTTCTGCATGATATCTCAAGTAATTTTCAACAGAGTAACTTCACCATAATTTGACTGTTATTTAAGGAATTATTGCCCTTTTACCCCCATCAAAAATTTCAACTGTATTTTAAATGTATTTTGGTATGGGCAGCATTATCCACCTCTAGAGATTGCAAGAGGCTAAGTTCAAACTTTAGCAAAGTCTTCATATTGTTGATTAGCATATAGTGTTCTGATTGGTCGATTTCCAAACTTAGTTTCCCCAAAATAACATACCTAAATATTTTTTTATGTTAATATTTAAGCATTGAACTGTTTTTGTATGGTATTTATGATCTATTTGAATGACACAGCTTTGCAAGCAAACAACATAATGCGCGCTAGTGTTTTTAGGTCACCTGAGCTTTAGCTCAAGTGACCTATTGCTATCCGTTTTCGTCCGTCGTCGTCCGTCGTCCGTCGTCCGTCGTACGTCGTCCGTCGTCCGTCGTCCGTCGTCCGTCGTCCGTTAACATTTTACATTTCAAACTTAAAGTCAAGTTCTGCTGGGCCGATTGAACTGAAAGTTGATAGGAATGATCGCCTCATGGTCCTGACAAAGTGTTGTTATTTTTCGGGTCGATCAGAAATCCAATATGGCCGCCACGGCCGCCATTTTGAAAACCTATTTCAAACTTAAAGTCAAGTTCTGCTGGACCGATTGAACTGAAAGTTGGTAGGAATGATCGCCTCATGGTCCTGACAAAGTGTTGTTATTTTTCGGGTCGATCAGAAATCCAATATGGCCGCCACGGCCGCCATTTTGAAAACCTATTTCAAACTTAAAGTCAAGTTCTGCTGGACCGATTGAACTGAAAGTTGGTAGGAATGATCGCCTCATGGTCCTGACAAAGTGTTGTTATTTTT